AATTTTTTTATGAACAATATGGAATAGCGAGATCTTTTATTTTTTACGGTTTTGGTAATCGATAGAAACTACCAGAGAGCAATAGTTGATGTTCTCTGACTTTTCTATCCAGAAACTGCCTCAGTTCCGGTAAACCGCATTCGACAGCACCCGGTCCTTGCGACGCGAACATTTTCAACATCTGATGAATCCTTTCTATCGGCAACGAATCCAAATTCGTCAACATCCCAACGATATATGACCAAAATACTTGTAGTTCCTCTTCTCTCTGATCGCTGGCTGAGGCCATAGCACTTTCAGCCTCCTCCTCCTCAACAATGTCCGTCGATAAACGATACTTGGACGTACTCTCCTCTTGTAGAACGAATACATCATTGGATGACTCTTTAAGAAGACCTTGTGACACCCAGAATGTTATTTTACGTCGCAGAACAGTCGCCGGTACGTGCATCACTTCCGCCAAATCTTGCAAAGTCCATTCATCTGTAAATCAAATATAATTTGACAGTAATAATTTCATTACATGTTTACATTCAGTTCAATGAAAAATTAACGCGTTCTTACTTCTACCCTCGAAGTACAAAATGATCGTCGCGTGTACCGGTGTGACGTTTATTTCCAACTTTCTGTCCTCTAATTCGATTTCGAGGCTTACGTTCCCTAAATGAGGTTTCCAGCACAACGTTCTATTTCCTTTCAAGGCCTCAAATGCCTTCACGTATTCATTCAATTGAAGCTGCACAATACTCGGTAACTTCAATTTCCAATCTTCCTTGAAAGGCGGCCAGAATTGTGCTGACAGTATGAGCGCGGAAGTGGGAAAGAGTTCCTCCGGCGAATTGTACCTAGTGTCAGAATGAATGTTACTATCTATCCTTTTCGAGTCGTAAACATCTTTCAACATAACTTCGCAGTAATGCAACTGATTCTCTCCGAATCGTCTCTTTAATAGCTCCAATTGACGTATCTCGCGTCCAGCATGATAATTGAGTTGCGAGAGCAATCTATCTGCCAGTAATGTGCGATATTCGTTAACAAATAAGTCCTGGCTGCCGTAAACGTTCACTAGTGTAGAGATTATGTCGGACACTTTACGCTGTGTTGATTTGGCTGAAATAATATAACCTAATTAAGGAAGAGTTTAAGAATATTTGAATATAAGAATATAATAAGAGAACAATATCTCTTTATCTATTCAATTCAGTTTTAACTCTTCTTAATGTTTAATTATGTTCAACTTAGAAACACGATAATAGATGCGATTTAAAAAATCATGGACTTTTCAAGTCCCTGAAAAATCCGAGCTCAAGGCACAAGATCGATTGTAAAAGAAAATTATCGTTGTAATAAAGTGGTTTACCAGGATCGGCATCGACTGGATCTGGCATCCAATTCTCCCAATCTTCGGTTTCGTCTTCCGCTGAACCATCATCCAGCTGTAGGTACTCGCCGTTCACCAATTCGTCAGCTAATCCGCTGGGCGAATCATCAAGCAAACTATTAACGACAGAACGTACGGTATCTTCTCTGTTTCTCAAATAGCTTCTGAAAAATAAATCGGACCAAATTATTGCTTTATAAATTCGCGTTATATATATATATATGTAGATCAGAGTTTTCAACGCAAAATTTTAACGTTTCAATTCTCACTTAATGGGCTCTGTTACAGCTTCTAAAAGAACTCCGGTGGGATCGAGATGCTTGAGCGCTTTAATCGCGGCGATATAAGCAGTCAAGATATCAGGAGTATTCACACCTGCATGTAGAAGCCTCGTTTTGATCGCTTCCTGCAAATTTTTAACTAAAACTTTTCGTTGATCAGTTCTTCCTAGATAAACTCGCAGATCGTCCACCGCGGGCTGCGATTCGGGATATTCTAAAATAAAAATGTGGCACAGTCGTTTGTAGTCGTGCAAAAGAATGTAATAAATCTTCGTAAACAATGTATCTACCTATTATTATGTTAAAGAGATTATCGATCCTTGTCTTGGTATACGTTTCATACAGAAAATGAGATAACTTCTGTTTAAACTTGTTTATAGTACTATAAACTTCGTCGCTAAGCACTTCCGTTATCGAAAAACCGCCGGAGTAAATTCTTATCAGCCAACTCATAACAACATTCTCAAGCCACTGCAAAATCAAACAATACAATTATTACATATTATTATATAATTAATTATATAATAATGTTAAATATTACATGATAAGATAACTAACATACATTTTCCAATGGGGCCAGTTGTGATACATCGAACGTCTTATTATCACACGTTTCGATTACATGATTTTCAATACGAACGTGAATTAACGATGTGAGTACGTTTCCCACAAGATTCTCCAGCAATTCCAACTTGATTAATTTCCTATTTGTCTCATAAAATATGCAGACTATCATTTGACATCGGCAGTTCTTCATCTTCTGGCCGCATCCCGTGCACTGGACTGAATCTTCGCTGGTTGGCGTATCTGCTTTAAAATTATATCTTTCTATAATATTTTAGGTAGAACACAGACATAAAAATAAATGTTTTCGCAATGTACCTTGCGACGAGTTGTCCATATTGCAAAATACATTAAATGCGATTTTATAAAAGTGTCCTATGATACATTCATGACACAGAGGTAATTGGCTCAGCAATGTTGCTCTCACAATAAAATTGAATTTTGTCTCTATACTGTTCTTGCCACTGTGCTGTCTTAAGTATTCCAGTTTTTTCAGAATTGGCAAAAATTCTGTGAAACTGGCATATAGACCATCTACGGCGGATTTGAACAATTCAAAGCCCCGTTCGGCATCTTCTGTTTGCTCAAACTTTTCCCAGAATGCTGGTGCCACATGACAACGAACATATCGCTCTATGTGATGAATTATAATCTCTTCAACATGTGCTTCTTGGTATTGTAAAATCTCTATTAACTTCAAGAATTCTTTCTCTGTTTCACATTCATCTTGAATCTAAAAAAGAAATATCATATGTTTTTTCAAAACTAAGAAAAAATGTAACATTGAATTAAGTATTTTATATATTAAAAATATTGCTTCTTAAAGTTATTATAATCTTTCTAATTTAGTACAAAACGTTTATTCAAACTTCAAGATATTAAAGTTATAAATATTGGAATAACTAAATTATCTGAAATAATTATCTAATTATTCAAATCTAAGTATTTGAATAATCCATATAATCGAAATTTTTATATTCAGATTTTATATTCAAATCCACGAATATAAATTACAGAAATTTAGATAAATAAACCAATTATGAGGTATCAGATTTATTGAAATTTTATAAAATTTCCACAAATTTATTAGCTAGAATAGGAAATTCGAATGTTCATAAACTCATATTGAGGTTATGTTTTCATACCGTAAATTTATTGCCAATTGTAAATGACAATCCATCACCGCATTACAGAATAAAAGAAAAATTATTGTATTCATCATATGACAAGTACCTTTCCTTTAATTATTGGAAATGCGAGTTCTATCAGGTGAAATAGATCTGAAGGTACCCCCTCAGTCATGTTTGAACCACTCAAATGGTCAAACTGGCGATACAACACATGCAAGAACGACCACGTTGGCTTATGTTTTGGTTAGGGTATGTTTATTTAGGTTAGAATATTTATCAAGATAAAGAAAGATAAAAGGAATTTTTTTTATTACTTTTCTTCAAAGTGACTTTGTTCAAATTCTGATTAGTTTAACAAGTAACGGTAGACGTGGTTGGAACTATCATCGCTTGATACGGAAAGAAAGGTACATTAAAAATGAATTTTTCAATGAGAATTTTTTCGCCGACAACTCTACCGATTAAAGTAGATTAATCCTTTCTTTTAATGTTGATTAATATCTGTTTAACTCATTTTCTATTTTTTTGGTTCTAAGAATTAGAAAAAATTAGATATTACAGTTAATCTACACTGATAGAAATGGACAGATCAATCAATGTTTTTGTGTTAAATAATACAAGAGATTTAAAGACATCTATTTTACCCTTCATTTGAAAGACTCCAAAAGAAAGTTAATCAGAATTTGACTAAAGTCATCTGGTCTTGGCAGAAAGTTAATATATGAATTAACAAGTGTGTCTTTATTTCCAGTAGTCGCAAAGGATGAATATATTTTCATTTAAAAGTGTGATCTTTGGCGTGACTACCACCGCCATTGGATATTACACAATCCTCCTACCACATACTATTTTGCTGAAAAGATACAGATACGTAGTGGCCACATATCGGTGAGTGATAAAAAGATTCTAAGGAGCATATTCTTGCTCCAAGTTCATGATCTGATATCTATTCTTTTTGAACACATAGAATGGGCAAAGAAGAACCATTGGGCTTTAAAGTCCAGGAAAAGATTCAAAGGGTAATGGATGATCTCAAGCTACCTGAGGATATTAGAAACACTATAAAACCCTTCAGTGTGTTTGGCTTCGATCTGTTTCACGCCGGCACTCTTAATGCCAAATACGGCGCGATACTGGGAATTCCTGTTAACTTCACCAAGACGAACGAGCATATTCGTGAGAATCTACAAATCAGAGAGGAATATATGGATTGGACACGACCAGATGCCCACAATTTTTTGAACGCGTCGATGCTCTCCGAGAACGCGCAGAAGTTCGCGATAGCGCGCGAAATCCTGCGTATCCTAGCGGAGGAACCGTATTTCGATTCTTTCGGACTGGCTCTAACGATCGCAACGCTATGGACGCTTTATAATATCGTATCGTACAGATTTAGATTGCGGGAACGTAGCGCGATAACACGATTTACGTTTTATACTGTCTTCGTCATGTCCGGTGCGTTATGGTGGTTCGGCGTAAAGGACTATCGAAGTAATCGACTCGACAAAGAAAACGACGAAGATTTGTGCAATTTAGGACCCGAATATATCAAAGGGGGACAAGAATTCTATGAAAAGTTGTTAATCAGAAACAAAGCTCTTAGATCTCTCTTGGGAACAGCAGGAAAAAGAATATTCACCGCTTACGGAAACGAAGAGTCTTTCCTGCGGCAGAAGCACATACCGATCACCAATAGGAAAGACTTCTTTGATTCGCGTCTACGAAGTTTGGAAGAAGCGAAATGAGTTGATTTTCTTATACCTAAAATTTGGAGAGCAAAGTCTTTTTTACGTTCATCGTCGGAGATAAATTTAAATTTAAATTTGATCCAAGTGATCAAATGAATGATGTCCGGTATGTCTGACAGTTTTCTTCTTGTATTTAATTCCTCGCAAACGTAGATATATCGGAGATCATTGTACAGATTTATGTATTTATTTTGATATTTTTAATGTTGTCGGTAAAATGCATCTGTAATAAATTGTTACTATTTGAAACAGTATTCATTAGGAATATATATTAATTACAATATCACGCACATCATTCCTTAAAACTACTGTATTTATGAGACATTGCCACGTCTTACCTTAATGTAAGAAGCTTTTATAGAAGATACATATTTTCGTAATATTTGTCGAATATGCACGATCATCTTTTACATAATAAAAATCACAGGTAAGAACATATTTTATACATGATCTATATTTCTATATTATATAAGCCTTATCGTGTAACGTATTCTGTTAAATTAATATTTATAAAAATCTGTAAGTATTACATATCATAGCTAATTTGTACAAATTTTTATTTTTTCGTTCTTCTTCTTTATATATATTAAACTAAAAGATATACACCCGCGTTGAGAGTGCTCGAGCAGCGAACGCGTTAATTGCCTATAGAATTTATATGCACCTCTATACAGAAAAATTGTACATCTCGGACTACGTGAGACCAAGCGAGCCAAACTGAAAAAGAAAGAGAATCATACACGAAATGTTAGATGTGCGTGCTGTGCGACGTACAAAGATTATTTCAGCAGCTATGCTTACCAGAGTTAATTTATCCTCCTCTTTTTTAAGTATCTTCGCGGTTTGTTCCTGATCGAATTTGACGACGGCGGCGATTACTCTGGCAAGTACCATCGTCTCTCTTCCCATCATGTATTCGAACAGAATGTTCCTGAGGTACTCGATCTCTGTTGAATCTTCCAATGTGTCGTGTCGCAAGCTCACTATTTTCCTAAGTTCCGCTAGTTCCCGCCTCTGAGACGTCAGAGTCTGCTGCAGGGTGTGAATCGAGCCGGTGCTAGTCTGTATCGCGGCCATCGCTACACGCGAAGTGCTCTCTAATTCCTGCGTGAAATTTCAATTTACTCAGAGCTCTCTCTCTCGTTACTATCGTGTCAAGCACATTTAAGCCATTATGAAATATGGATATAAGAGAATGCGTAAACATCAAAGAAAAAGTAAAAGAGGAAAAAAAAAAAGAAATGCCGAAGCTTTACCTCGGAAGCTGCATCAGTTTGTGCATCGGGCTGAAAGTAATGCAAATGAAATTAAAAAATCAAAAAAATATGAAATTAAAAAATGCACATAAAATGAGTGAGTGAACGAATAATCGTTACAAATATATAAAATGTATAAATTAACTGTACAAACATAAATTAGATTATGCCTTTGGATTATGCAACTTGCCTTTCTTTCATTCTGCCACTCTTTCGTTAATTCATTCAACTCCTCCTCGTGTTTCGCTTGCATATTGTCGATCTTTTGCTGTACTATAGTCTTCCACTTTTTCTCTAATTCTTTTATCTCATTAGTATGCTCTTTCTGAATCTGCGCGATCGTTTCCATCAAGCGATCGATATCCTTTCCTTTTTCTGCTACCGCGTCTTTCTTTTCCAGAACGAGACTCTCGAGTTGCTCGGATTTCTCTGTCAATTCTATCTGACAATCTTTCAATTGTTCCTTGTACTGCTGCACAAGATTCGACTCATAGTTGTGTTGGCGATCTACATAAAGATTAAAGACTAGTAATAAACCGAAATATTTCTAAAAAATAATTTTTTTTTCATGAAACATGAAACAACGTGTCTCTTACCGAAACGTTTTTCTAACGCGGCTTGGAGTTCTTCTTCCTTGTCGTGTAACTGAGCCTGAAATTCTTTGACCAGCTGCTTCAGCCTCATACCTTGCTCCTCCTCATTGGTCTTCAATTGTCCCTTCAACTGATTGGTATGCGATCTCAGTTCGTTGTTCGCCAGTTGCATTTGCGTTTCTTTTGCCTGGAATGTTATTAACGCCTCGTCGAGCTGCGCCTCTAATCTCTTGTTCTCCTCGCGCAATTTCTCGAGTTGGTACTTGGCGTCATTATGAAGGGTTTCCAATTCTTTTCGCAACGCGTTGTTCGTTCGAACGAGAGCATCAATCTCCGACTGTAGGCCGGTAATCTTCTCCTCTGATTGCGCGAGCGAATTTCTCAGCGTGTCCGTTCCTTTTCTCCGTTCGTCAATCTCCAGCGAGAATCGCCTTAAATTCCCGATCTCTTGTGACATGTTGGATATCTTGTCCTCTAACAGTTTTATCTCCGCGTCCTTCGCCGTCAATAGGTCTTTCAAGGCGCCCGACTCCGTCGACGAATTTTTCGCAGACTGCAAAATGTCAATCTCTGTTTGCAGTCTATCGTTTTCTACCCTAAGAGCCTCTAAGCTAGATATCTTAGACTGCAAATTATTTACGTGAGCTTGCAGCTCCGCGTTACTGGAATTTACGCTTTCCAACTCGGCAATTCTGCCATTCAGCTCAGCATTTCTGTCTTCTACATCTTTAATTTTTTTAACTTCATCCCTCAGCGACTTTAATTCCGCGCAAAGCCGTTCGTTCTCTTCTTTCATGACGTTGCTGTTTGTCACGGCTGTATCCAGTTCGGAGAGTTTATTCTTCAATTCGACATCTCGCTCGCTAAGTCTTTCCTTTATTTCTCGCAATTCTCTTTCGTTAACTGCCAATTTCTCATTTAACGAATTCAATTCTGCATTTTTCCGTTCAATTTCTGCATTGGTGGTCTTCAATTCATTATCCAAGCGTTCCGTCTCCTCGTTTTGGATGTTCAGTTGAGACTTATAAGACTCTACATGATCTTTCACCGTTTTCCGCAATTCTTCAATCTCTCTCTCGTACTCTCCGACTTTCCGCTTCAAAGCTTCTTCGTCTTCGCACAGCTTCCGATTGCGGCTTAAAAGATCGTTATACTTGTCTTTCAAATCTTTGTTCTCCAGGCTGATCGTCTCGAGCTGCGTATTTTCCAATTTCAGCGATTCCGCCTGCCTTTCAGAAGCTTCCAACAGGCTGGACAATTCCGCTTGACGGGTCTTCGCTTCGTTCAGCTCAGCTTTTACCTCCTCAATCGTTTTGCCCTGTCGCTCTTTAATCGTTTTCATCTTCTTCAATTGCACGAGCTTCACATTTACCGTTTCCTGCAACACTTTGTTGTTCTCCATCAACTCGGCGATTTTCTTCGCGTGATTCTCCCGTGTCGCTTGGTACTCCGCTTCCAGGTTCAGATATTTCCTCACGTGCTCCTCGATCGTTTGAATATGACTGTCGCAGGTAGATCTCAAATGTGCGACATGCCCCTCTTCATTCGCCAGTTTCTTATCACGCGCCTTTATCTCGTTCTCTTTTTCAGCCAAATCGTCTTTCAAGCGCGCAACTTCCGATCTTGAGGCGTGCAGCTCTTCTCGCAGCGTGTTCTGATCGTCGTTTTCGGATTTTAATGAACTAATAATCTCAGTCGCTTCGCGTAACTTCGCGTTTAACTCGTCCACTTCCTTGAAGACGCGACTGGCCTGCGTGTGTTTCTCCCTCAGGTCATCAATCTCGACGGACAACGCGTGATTTACAGACTCGAGATTCTCCAATGCCCTCAATCGTTCCCGCAGGACCTTGATTTCCTGCTGCGATTGCGTCAATTCGCGCGATGCCGTTTCCAGATCGTGGATTTTAAAATTAAGATTATCGATTTCGGCTATTAATTTATTATTCGTCGTGTTAAGATCGTCATACTGGTTGCTCTTTAACGTCATCTCTTTCAATTGTTCCTTACTCTTCTCCAATTCCGCTTCTAATGTGGATTTATGGCTCATAATCTGTGCCAATTCTGACTGCAGTCTCGCCTCCTTGAAACGTAACTGTTCTAAATCTTTTATCTTTGAATGCAATTCATCGACTTTGGATCTGAGTGTCACGTTTTCTTCTTCGAGCTTTACGAAGGATACGGCAAGAGTCGCGCTTAAATCCGATATTCTGGTCTTTTGGTTAGAGAACTCTTCCGACATGACACTTTTAACATCCGCGCAATCCTGCTTCAAACGTTGCACATAATTATTATAATACATGATACGATTCATCAAATCGCTCCTTTCTTTCTTCAGTAAACTTATGGCTGAACTGTCTGCCTGGACCTTATTTCTAAGATCGTCGATCGTGGATTTACAAAGTTCGAGCTCACTTTGCACCGCGCTTAATTCCGTCCTTTTATTCTCCAACTCTTCTTGCACCTTGGAAAGTTCCTCCAGTTCTTTCTTAAGAGACTTTATCTCTGTCTCCTGCTCCATCAATTTCTGTTTAGTCTTCTCATGCATGGACGTGTATTGCTGTACCTTTTTGTTATAATTCTCACACACTTGATCCCTATCGATCAATGCATGTCTCATATTCTCCAATTCCTTGTCGACGCTTTGTACTGTCGCTTGAAGCTTTTCGATCGTTGAATCGGCGTCTTTCCGTTTCTCTTCCGCGATGATCTTGTACGCATCGTACTCTTTTTTTAAGTCCGAATATGTGGCCTTGTGAGCAAGCAATTCACTTTGCAACGTTTCTTTATCATGTTTATACTCCACATTTCGTTTTTCCAACTCGTCGTACCTATCCTGCAATTCCTGCAACTCAGTTTCTCTCTCCTGTAAACGAGATGTTACCTCATCCAATGTATTCTCGTCCTTCTGTGCTTTCGGTTCTTCTCCGTGATCAACTTCCTCGTGATGATTTATCCCCACTTGTTGCGTAGATTTCACTCTTTCAATTGTCTCCTTCAACGTATCGGGCGCCAACGTGCCTTTATCCGCATGCATTGATTTCAGTTCGCTTAATTCGCTTTTATATCTCGCTACCGCCTCGTTCAAATTCTCTCTGTCCTCCATCGCATGCTTCAGATCGATTCGCAGTTGCTTAATCTGTTCCTCCTTCTCCTCAAGTTCCCTGTGCACGGAAAGTTTATTCTCGGCTAACGAAATTGCTGACTCTTCTTCGCGTTTGTGCAATATGTCTACTTGCTCGGTCAGTTTTTCAACTTCGGTACGCGCCGCACTCAATTTATCCTCCATCGCACTCATTTTCTCGGCAGTGGAAGTCTTTAGCGCCTCGTAGTCGTTCTCCAAAGTGTTCTTTTCCTTCATTACCTCTGTAAATTTCTCCTTATTACGCTTCAAGGATTCCTTGTACTTCAAAACGAGGCTTTCTAGTTTTTTCAATTTCTCTTTTAATTGACTATTTTCTACTAACAGCGCGTTATTTTCATCATTAGACGGCTCATTTGTTAAATCGATTAGATTCTCTTTAGAGTCATCCTTTTGCTGAGCATCTTCTGATACTGAATTATCTAACGTTGGTCCGCTGGCTTGTAACAGTTTTATCTTGGTATTTAACGTATTTATAATATGATCTTTTTCCTCTATGTCATTCCTCAGTATGTCCTCCAGATGCGCTTTTGCTTGCTGTTCCAATTGACACTGCTCTTTTAGGTCGGTTATTCTTCTTAGAACTTTATCTTGCGTTTCAACCAGCACAGACTCCAATCTGGTTTTCACTCTGTCTAATTCACGATAGTGCGTAGCCAGATCTGTATATCTACCTCGATATTTATGATATTTAGTTTGTACCTTTTTGTAGGCAGAATACAGCTGATCCTTTGTAACTCTATCAAGATGAGGACTGATGTTATCATCCACTTCACTAGCTGACTGATCCATGTCTGACTACAAAAATAAAAAAGAACTGTCAGTGACATTAGAGAATCACAGATTTGCACATCAACGAATGTTCAAAAAATGAGACAAACCTGCAAATGATATAGATTTGGAGAACTCTCATACATCGGGAACAACGAGGATGCGTCGCTAGTAACACTGCTCACCGAGGATCTTCTTGAGATCTCCACACGATTCAAGGATGGTGATATCAGGTCAACATTCTGGAAACTGTGTTTCACCGGAGTATTTTTTGGTGTTTCTACAAATTAAAATATTCCATATTATTTCCAGAATATAAATAGTGTACAAATTTATGGACAATATCATCATGTTAGGGACAATATCATCTACAAAGTATCATATGCAAAAATGTATTCAAAACGGAACACTTATATACACAACTCTCCAAGATCCTTGGTACTTTCCACTGATAACTTGCCAGATGATCAAATATGCTTACCATCTCCATCTTCTGTCAGACTGAAATTGTCATTCGACGCCGAGACTTCCTGAATGGAGCTGTTGGATAGGGCCGGTGATACTACCGCCTGTAAAAAATTGCAACAACAAAAGAGGGGATCAATTGAAGATCGTCACTTTTGCGAAATTGTGGTATTCAAAGGTGGAAACGTCAGCAGACCTGTGCGAGTTGTTGCACGCTTGCCTGTAACCTCGCGGGCGACTGCTTCATCTCCTCCGCGAGTTTGTCCTTGAATTTCTTAAACATCCTGGCGCGCGTGGCAGTCGGAAGTGGCCGAGATGACGATAAGCGCACCGATAAGAGATGTGCGTGGCCGGAGCCCTGACGTGCGGGGAATGACGCGTTGTTTACCGTTGTTTAGACGAACTTGTGCCTATCGGGATCAGTGGCGCGACCACGGGGAATCCGGACTACGGCGGGACCGTTCGGCGGCACGGGGGACATAGTGGTACCGGAAGCGCACCTCCCGTTTCCGCCACTCGGATCCTCACCTCCGCGCGAACGAGAAAATCTCCGATAAGGGACACCGAGGAAAGAAATTGCACGTATGACGTGCTACATTATTTGATTACCCCACATTTGACTATACCAGACATATACACACACACACACACATGCATGCGCCGATCGCCATTACCGTGTGGGCGCGCGATGACGTCATCAAATGTCAGTACCATCTTCAACCGTTGGCTCTCTTGTTCCTGAGTGACGTAAGTGGCTATAAACGAATGAATGAATGAATGAAATCGCAAACAAAAATTATGATTATTAAGAACAGCAAAAATTATTATTTTATATTGTTCGATAAAGAAAATTAGTTACTGGAAACGCATGTTTTCAGCATCATATTTAGAGCTAACCTTAGGTCGTTCAACCGAGTCGTGTTTCCATAGTTTAAATCTCCAGGGATAGTTTTTTCGATTAAACCAAACTCCGATTAAATCAAATAATATATATATACAAAGAAATGACGTATTAAAAGACGGGAGGAATTGGTTTTCTGGGAATCAAAGGAGAGAAAAAAACAATTTGCCTTTCAAGGCATTTCCATGGAAGCTGGATGTTTATTTAGGCAACTTCGGTCACTCTCGCGCTGCCCTTGTGTGTCTTTGACAAATAATCCGCGAATTCCTGGTAAGGCGCTTTGGCCAAAGCCTGCTCCTTCCATAAATCTGGTGTCAAATATGCGTATGTCTTGGCGATCGCGGCGTATGTCGCCTTGGCGAAATTGCCGAGTGTACAAGTGGAACCCCTGGCTGAAGTGTAGCAGTCCTCGATCCCAGCCATCTGTAGCAGTTTCTTAGGAACTGGAGCGGAGACGATACCGGTACCCCTTGGTGCTGGTATCAGGCGCACTTGTACAGAACCACACTTGCCAGTCACTTTGCATGGCACCGTATGTGGCTTGCCAATCTTGTTGCCCCAATAACCACGCCGAACCGGTACAACCGAGAGTTTTGCCAGAATAATAGCACCACGAATGGCAGTGGCTACTTCCTTCGAACACTTCACTCCAAGTCCAATGTGTCCGTTGCTGTCTCCAATGGCAACAAATGCCTATAAAAATATTTCATTTATGAAACTTTTTAGTTTTGTTAGTATTCAATATATGACAGATACAATTTTTAAATTCTTTATTCTTCTGATTAATCATAATATTTAAGAATTAATTACTCATACCTTAAATCGCGTACGTTGACCTGCTCTAGTCTGCTTCTGTACAGGCATGATCTTCAAGACTTCGTCCTTAAGATCTGGTCCGAGGAACCTGTCGATGATCTCATACTCTTTGATGGGTAAAGAAAACAGATAAATGTGCTCGAGAGATTGAATCTTGCCGTCTCTGACCAAGCGGCCTAGCTTGGTAACAGGAACCCATTCCTTGCTATCTTCCTTGCCGCGTCCACGGCCACGTCCTCTACCTCTGCCACCACGACCACGACTTCTCAGACCTCCACGATCACCTCCCGCACCGCGAGAGCCGAAACCTCCACGAAAGCCACCACGTGCGGCTGGAGCAGCGTCCGCCATTCTGTGTATTAAATAAAATATTATAACAATCAAAAGTACTTTTCATTCTGAAACAATGTTTTTGACATGCGCAAGTTGACAGCCACTTTGCAATCACTATCAACTGCAAAGAAACTGTGCTCTATTATAAATTAAATTGAATTATGAAACAGCGATATAATCAACGATTTTTTAAATTTAATGCGAAATGAATGTGAAATGTTAGTGCTCTCCTTCTCTCTCTCTCTCTCTCTCAGCGGCTAACCTAGAGAAGTCGCACGTGCACGTGACATTTCACATATTTTCAAACGCGATAAAATCTCTCATACAACATTTCACATTTTTAAGTCATACAATGAGCATGCAAGAATTCATTTCACTGTCGTGACAAATATATATCCGAATATATAATATTATGGAATAATTGGAAAATATTGGAAACATATACTCACGCTACTTGCTTCTTGTAAAATTACAGAAGAATGGAAGGCAGGTCGATGAAAGCAGGGATGTTTACATGTGCGCATGCGTACGAGAGCAATTCGCGATCCGAGAGCACAAAGACCAATGAAAACGCTCGACTGCTTCAGACGCTTGCTGCACGTGACGACATAGCCGACATTTGAAAAAGCGGCGCGTTTCAGAATACAGATTATTCACAAAGACGTGTCAATTTATGTTACTTTATTGCTATCGTACACTTAAATAACGCTGTAACACTTGCCACAATATATAACATATTGTCAATTATTATATCCTCGGCGACCACCCATCAACACGCGAAACATCTCGTCTCAGTCACATTATCAACGTTATTATTAGGATGACTGATGATGAAAAATCCGGGTATATACGTGTATGCTGAAGACACTTGAACTGTTACAGAGAGATCGTGTCCTACGTACATGCATTCTTACAAAGTACATATTATATAAAGGAACTGAAGTTACCGAAATTGCATACCTGTTACAAGCTCTCTCTTTTAATAATAAAAAAAAAAGAAATTCATTATTATATTCATATTCACAACGTGAGTAATATCGCACCTGAAAATGGGATTCAAGCTGAAGCTTTATTAATTACGTTAACAATATTTATTCTAATCTGTTGACAATTGAGGACACTTGTTCACAGCAACGCGATGAAGCCAGCATCACGGATTTGACTGATGCGATACCTGAGTTATAAAAGTTA